CGGCCGATAACTTTTCATTTTTCCAAGTTTTTTTCTCAATCACGAAATTACTACGTATGATCAAAAAGCGTTCGATATATTTTCCAAAAAAATTGTTCGTCTCTCTCTCTCTCTCTCTCTCTCTCCCTTCGTCTTGATGCATTAAAAATCGGGTATCGCGCGTACGCGCGAGGAAAACTTTTTCAATTTCCTAAGCTCCGGCGCGTCACGTCCAATGTAACGTATAAAGACGAGCGCGCTGCAAACGACTTCGATCATACTACTTACCAAAGCGACTCGATACTTATATATACGCTTTTTCCGTCGTCGAGCTGCCGCTGCGGCGAGCCCAAGAGTCCGAGAGGATAATGTCGTAGGCGGATCGAGTGCCACATATTATATATAAGAACAAGTGTGCAAGTGTATCGCCAACTGCGCTCCACCCTCCAACCCCATATTATGATAGCAGCACACAGCCGTAAACGCAGAGCTGCAGCTACAGCATCGATTTGGCTTGTACTCCGTTTTCTAGGGACATCGGCCGGAGGGGGGCCCGTTAATATTTCGCTATACACTACATCACGATTATATTATATAAACGTCACGACGTTTATTCTCAAATTTATTTTCATTCACCGTTGACAAAAGTGCGCGCGTTTAATTCAAAGGCCTCGCGCGAGATATTTTAATTAAACTAAATTTTGCGAGATGTTGAAATAAGCGCGCGCGCAAACGAACTAGAACTATATACGGCGTATAAACGCACGAGCGAACCTCGGTCCTCTCTTGTCCTGACACTATACATTGTATGTATATATACGCTTGGTCCGTCGACGCGTTTTCCATACGCAGACGTGTGTGTGTGGGTGTGCGTTTAACGTCGGGTATACGAACATGACTGCTGGTAGAATATAGCCGGCCAACATCGTGACGTTGCGGTTTGTCCCTCTGGTTGCTTAGCTTTTCTCGAGCGAAAGTAATTACATCGGGTGGTGGTGGTGATAGGCAACTCGACCCGTATACGTGTATATATACTTGGCTCAGCTGTGTGTGTGTGTGTGTTCATTTCTCTCGCTCCATGGTCAAAAGCAGTGTCTACCTATATATATCTATATGTACGTATCGAAATGGGTATTATAGACAATCGTTGTTATAGCTGATTGACGCGCGCAAGTCGTATTACAAGCTCTCGAGTCTCGAAAGCTGCTACTACTATACACTTCGGCGGGTATCGCTATTCTGCTTACATTCCACACGGATGTATACGTATATCGAGGCGGCTCTGCTCTGGTTGTGTCAGCGCGCGCGGAAGACGATCGCGCGCAGATGGGTTACAATGCTCCGAGTCGAAGGGAGAATCGATTTGCAGTTAACGGCGTTAAAATACGTATTCGTATATCCAAGTGGATCCCAGTTATTCCGATTACTTTTTGTGTGATGTATTCCGACTGTTATTTACAAAACGTTGCGAAAAAAAATTAAATAGGGTCGAAAATAGACGCGTTTATTATAATTTTGCAATTGTTGACAGCTTCGTACACGGTATACGTGGATGCGCACGCACGAGTTTGCGAACCTCTTGTCCTTGAATTATGCATGAACTTTTTGTCCGCTTTCGTCCTAAATATGCGCGTGTTAATGTGTGTTGCGCGTAACGTAGTTCGCAGAGATACTCGAGAGTCTGATAAACGTGTAAACAGCGATGGGATATATAACTTCGTCCGAGTGACGGACGTATATATGCGCGCACACGATGTTTACTCGCATACGTTCCAATGCATCGATCTGGAATTCGAGCGAACGACATAATTGTCCTTCTTTTTTTTTCCCCACCAAATTTAGAGGGTACGAATTAGAGCTAATTTTTTACAATCGAAATTACGTACATCCGATATTTGCTATCGTTTCGTCAAGACGTACGTGAACGATCGATCCACGATATTGTATGGGAAAAATCATCTTCGAGTCAGCTCCTCGGGGGATCGGAGGACAAACAGTCGACGGAATTATTACTCGGCATATACAAGAGCCATCGCTCTCCATACGTAAACATGCACAACTCGACTGCAGCAGCAGCAGCAGCAACGAAGAATGTAATCTCGTTTTGGCGCTCGCTATGCACGCGAAAATCCTTCGAAACATCAAGTCGCTTTTCTTGTATTTGCGTTGTGATTTTTTCCTCGCTCTCGAACCCACCCCAGCTCCCCTTCTGGCATCCCTCGGCTTTTTATTTATTTATTTATTTTTATTTTTTTGATTTTTTCCTCGTTCGTCCTTTATTTTGCACACACGCCGTGTGCGCCACGCGCGTACTGACAATACGATTTATAGCCAATCACTTTTTTTTGTTGGCCCCCCCTTTTTTTTGTGTTGGCTCTCGATGCACAGCAACGTGCACGCGAAGATACACGTACGTATATACGTGCGTGCGTGTGTCTGTGAAGTTTGCATGTGCGAGAGAGTAAAAATTCAACGAGCAGCAGCAGAAGCAACATCGGTGGTGAACTGTTTTTTTTTTTTTTGCACACTCGATTCTTGTGTGCACGGAGAACGTAGCGTTAATATTTCACTTCTATAACTTTTAGCGAGATTTGAGATTCGTGCTTATGTGCCAGATTGTTAATGTCAAAATTAGTTTAGATTATTATAGTCACTTTGTTTCGTATAAACATGAGGATTGAATCATTTAATTTGATTTTCGAGTATGCATTTCAAATCATTAAATAGTATTTAGTGATCTCATCTCAAAAGCTCAAACAAATAAACAGAAAAGATAAACCGGTCACTAATCACCAACTATATTACGCAATATTTGTCGACCCCAGAAACCGCCACGTTATATACCAACACGGTACAATGCGATGCACACGAATGGGCGCCATCGACGCCTAATGCGGACCAGAAAAGAAAAGTTATAAATATATTTATGCGAGCGAGAGAAAGAAAAAAAAAGGAGAGAGATATAGAGAAGACAACCCCCGAGTCTATCTGCATTAAAGAATGAGAACTATTTGAAAAAGTAAAGTGGCGAAAAAGAGTAGAGCTTCATGATATACGAAGTGACGCGGCGCTCGCGCGCATGCCACGAGTTTCCTTTTTTTTTTCTGTCTCTCTCTCACTATTTTGCTCCACTTATATACGAACTTTCCGATCGTACGTATTATTTTTTTTTTTTTTTTTTTT